AACAAAGAGCCAAAACATTAAATTTTGTTTTAAAACTGGTAAAACTTTTACCGTAACATTTCAGTTGATGAAACAAGTTTATGGCGATGATTGCCTATCCTGTAGCAGAGTGCACAAGTGGTATCAACGTTTTCAAAGTGGTCGTGAGGACATAAACGACGATCAACATGTGGACCAATCAAAATCCCTGATTACCGGAAATTCCAATGAAACTGTGCGGGAATTCATCAAAAATCAGCCGAAATCATCATTGAATTTCATGGAAATGGAATTGGCCATCTTCAAAATATCGATTTATCGCATTTTGACCGAACATTTGGGCATACGAATGGTGTGTGTACGATTTGTTCCGCACAAATTGACTGACGACCAAAAATTGCTCGGAATCCAACATTCGAAGGACGATTATTTGACCAAAAATCACATTTTAACCATCAACTGCTCCCCGTATTCACCTGATATGGGACCGTGCGTCTTCTCCTTTTCGGAAAAATGCATTTGCCCATGAAAGGAAAGCGTTTTGTAGACGTTGAGGCCGTTCAAAAAGCGCAATGTCGCCAATTGGAGGATTATTAGCAATGCTGGTAAATGCTTGTAAAATATAGATTTTTTTTAAAAACCAGAAATGTGTTCTGTAATATTTAAAATTTGGTCTTTATGGGGTTACTTGGGTTTACGGGTTTCCAAAAATCCAACTTTTTTTGTCTTTTTGAATTCTACAATATAGAATATTGTCCTAAATTTTCAAGTTGATAGTGTAATAGTTTCGCGGATGCAGCTTTGAGAAGTTGTGCGCTCGAGGGTAGCTAGGCTAAGTGCGCCGTCTTTGAAATTGTGTTTTTGAAGTCCGTTGGCAAGATTTCTTGAGAACTACTCAAACGATCTTCATAAAATTTTACACAGATCGTTGAGATATAATTCTTAAAGCCTTGGAAGAACAATTTTTTTTTTTTTTGATTATAAAAATTTTGCCAAGTTTTCACTGAAATTAAATTTTTTTTTGTAAAAATGTCTGTCAAAAATACAATTTTGAAAACTTCAGAATTTGTTTTTTTATAGTGAATTTGTTACAAACATTTCGAGTAAAACCATGTAACCTCTTAATCCTTTATTGCTGGTGTTTAATGCTTATACGTATCTATCTGTACAAACATATGCCGGTGGTTTACGTTTTGTGGCAAGCTTTTATTAAAGCGTTTTGCCTTAGTAGCCCACATACGCAAATTTTTCAAATGCAGTTATGCATTAAATTAACTATACACATGCATACATACACAAATGTATGTGTCTGCTTAGTTGTTATTGTATTTGTGTACGTGCGGTTTGTTTTGTGGCTTGTTGTTGCTCATTTGGTTAGACATAGTCGGTTATAATGGCATTTGTTATTATTATTTTGCATACATAGAATGCAGCAACGTAACCGTAAATTCTTTAACAATGTGCAGATATAAATATGTACAAGTAACAGGCATATATGCATGTATACACACGCTTATAAGTATGTGCCACATGCCACATTAGTTGCCATAATGGCCATAGAAACTTACCTAAATGCATATATGAAAGTAGCAAACGCAGCTGTCTATGCACAAGCACACACCTACTTAATAATACATACACAAACATATGGTATACAGCACTCACGAATAGCACACGTATTCTCTTTCCGCGACAAATGCAGCGCTCTCGAAGTCCTTCGCACAACGCAATCACCTTCAACCAGCCACCTGGCTTAATGTCTTCGGCGCATATTTGCTTTAAAAGCTTGCCGCTGTTCTTACTTTTACCGGCAGTATTTGCTGTTAGTGTTGTTGTTGTTGTTGTTGTTGTTGATCCTCTGCGGGCGAAAGTACATATGCTTGGCACATAGTTGAGCGCGCCTGAAAGAGGTCCTTTTGTCGACGCCAAAAACTGGGTCAAACGACTGCTGTTGCTGCTGAAATGCTTTTGCTGCCTTTTTCACGGCGGTTGCGACAACAATTGTTATTGTTCTTCGCTGACGCACCTCTTTATTCCTGCTGTTCTTATTCTCTTATTCTTGTTATTGTAGCTTGAAATAATGCTGCAGCATAAACATGTACTCAGTTGATTGCGCTATAATGGTACACCTAGATACCTCATAGTAAAGGTGCCAGTTACTGCCATTTTAGGTTATATTTCTTCTAACTTCACTCAGTATACTCTTCGACACCGCTGTTGGTGGCTTGTCGCTAAGCAAAGTGACACATATACCTTATATTTTACTTATTTAGTTGCAGTGCGTGGTATATTCCAAGATATTTGCAAAACTTATAAACAAAATTTTTGAAAAAGATTGAATATAAAATTATGTTAATGAAAAAAAAAAAAAAAATGTTGAAAAAATTTTTATAAAATATGATTTGAAAGCTGCCAAGCTTGATACATATATTGCGCTACCAGAATTAAATCTATACGATATATAGTTAGCCCGAACCTTCAAAAAGAACGTACATAAATTTGACACCTGTCCGATCATTCTTTATTGGCGTAAACACCGGGGGGTCACTTATCCAAAGCTGTAGTTTCCTTTTCATTGGTAAAGTTCTTTACATGGCGGGTCCCAAACTCAGATCACAACCCTGTCCAAGGGATGTTTCGTCTTCACACTTTAGCTCGTCTTTTAGCGAATGTTTTTTGGCTACTCAGAGGACATTTATTCTATGACTGAAAGATGTGAGCTGCTTGAACCATATATAAAAGAATCATTTCAGGCCAGAGCTTATAGAACCTTCCTCATTTGCGTAAAAACACATGGTTCCAATCTCCGGGATCATTAGTTTGTCGATTATATTACCTTGAGTGAAGCAACTTTTGTTATTGTAAAAAATAGATAAAAACGAATTTACCGAGAGGATAAAACATGGTATTTTAAAAAATAAAACTACAGTTCAAACAAGTAAGGAAGCATTAAGTTTGAGTGCAATCGCACATTTTATACTCCGACTTTTCAATGCAATATGCAAGTTTGTACGTGCCGGTTACATATGGGAGCAGCTCATAGTGGATGATTTTCTTTCAATCCCACCAAACACACAGCAAAACCTTCCTGGCCGTCAATCTCGGCTTGACCACTGTATGGGACGATTCACCAGTATTCGGCCACGCCCGTTTTCGCTTGATATTATCGTATGTTATTCATTTTTCCTCACCAGTCACCATCCGCTTCAAAAATGGGTCGAGTTCACTCCGCATCAGCAGTATATCGCAGGCGGTCGATGTTTTCCATGATTTGACGGTATTCGTCGTCCCCCGAAACAGCGAATTTGCCTTTAACGAAGGAAATAGCGCGAATTTCGGCGTTAGTGAACTCCATGTTTACACGTTTATAAGTACTGAACGCAATATCCAAACTAATCATGCATAGCGTCGTTTTGTAGGTTATGTCAAGACCTTTCAAATACGTATAGTATTGTCAGATATGAAGTCTGTAACGCTTTATACAAGTACATAGACGCGAAATCAATCATTTGACAACCTAATGTAACCGATATCTACTGTAGTATATTAACCTTATTAGAGGGCTAAAAACAAAAGCAATTTTTGCAAAATTTTTGCCCACAGGCCCTTGCGATGTCCTGTGTCAAATGTCAGTTTTATATTTTAATTCAGTGCTAAGTTATGGCACTTTATAGGTTTTCGGTTAACAGCGATTTGTGGGCGTGGCAGTGGTCTGATTACGCTCATCTACGAACTCGTAAATTTTTTGGGCTTAGAAACCCGCATACCGAGTTTCATCGAGGCAACTCAATTTTTACTCAAGCCACAGCTTGTATGGACGAACGGATGGACGGATAGACAGACAGCCAGCCATATTTCAACTTTTCTCTTCATTCTGATCATTTGTGTATATATAACCCTATATTTATCTCGCTTAGTTTAAGGTGATACGTACTTTCCGTTAGCAACTGGTTGCAAGAGTACACAAACGAGGAATCGAGTAAGCAAATCGCAAATGCGCCATATGATCTTCTGAAGTTTTGATTAAAAAAAATATATTTTTTCTTAAACAAAAAAACATTTATTGCAAAACAACGTTTGCTAGTTAACTCATAACATACTTGTTTAAATCTCAAATATCTGTATTATGTTAAAATCATTTTACTTTAAGCGCTTATCTTAATTTTTAACGATTTGACCTGTGGTTAATGTAGCTTTAACACGGTCACCGCAACTTTTTAAAAAGTGTTTAACCACAAACATCGCAAGCTATTKTGATACACTACGTCGCTATGACTTTGCTTACGACATTCAGTGGTGGTGCTTTAGAATTAGTCAACCTACAGAAGAGCAAATTCTTTTAGGAACAGTTTGTTTTTCTAATATTACTAGAACAGCAAACAAATTATCACACAAGGGCGAGTGTTGTGCTAAGAGAGTCTGCGGTTTTGACAAATATTTTTCTTGATAAGGAACTAAAATAGGATTTTAGTTTCTTAAGGCTTACAGATTCGATTTTATATTTTAGTATTTCAGTAAGTGTAAGTGAGTTGGTCTGCAAGCCCGATTTATTGTGGAGGAAATATAGTAACAATAACAGCGAATTAATAAATATGAACGAACTAAAAATAAGCAATTTGTATGTAATACTCGCCTACATACTAAGTGAGCCGATCATAATACACCAATTTCTGTTCGCGCACGCTACCGAAATGAAGTCAATCAAAACTACTGTTGAACCATTCTCCACTTGGCCCTCCGATTGCTATAGGGATGAGGAGACTTTTTGTGATAGTTATCGCAAAATTTGTAAATGTAGAATAGACGACGGGCCCAATATTATTTACATTAGCTATTTTGGAGAACTTCGATATCTGTATGTAAATTGTAATATTAGAGACACAGAAACTAATATCGATTTCCTACTCAAACGGAAATTTCAATCAATTTTACTTAGAACCCGTTATATCGAAGTGATAAATTGCACGAATTTTACACACGAAATGTATATGAATGACAAGGTATTTGAAATAAATATAAATATGTATAAGCTGAATAAATTAACACTAGTTCATAACACTGACCTTGCTCCAGAAACAACCGTATATGTTGGTGCAACATGGTACGTGACTTATCTGGAATTGATTATTAAATCAAATCGAAATGAAATTCGGGAAGAAGATATTATAAGCACAATCACTGAATTACTTTATAGGCCGAATAAACTGGAAACGCTTACGCTTAGAGTGCAAGGTCTAAGAAACCAGTACTTATCGCTGCAAAACTTAACGCAAACATTCTTTACAAACTTCACTGCGCTCAGGCAGCTTGACTTAGCCGGAAATAATATGAAAATGTTGGACGCAAACATCTTTGCAGCACTAAGACAGCTGAATTGTTTGAATTTGAGCCGAAATAAAATCCGAGAATTGCATGAAGATCTATTTGCAAATCAGCGTCAACTTTTGATACTGGATCTGAGTCACAATTTATTGGCATATTTAAAGCCTGACCTTTTCAAGCATACTCCTTGGTTATGGCAGTTGAAACTTGCTGGCAATCACCTGTACAACACCACACATCTTATGGAAAATCTGAAACCGCTGCATTATCTACATAGGCTGGACATAAGCCAGAACCAACTGCAAGCTATTTGGAGCACCGAGACGTCCTTCAAAAAAACGCCAAGATTACTGACAAATTTTCGGGTCAACACGAGTTCGGCTTTAGTCGAGAGTCTTAATTATATTACGAAGTTGCATCCAAAAAATTACGAAGGTGTCAAGATTAACTCAACAGTAATAAATCTAAGTGGCAATCGTTTGCGTGAAATCACTTTGGATTGGCTTGTAGCTGCGAACATCACATGCCCTTTTGAAATAAACTTAGAGCACAATTTGATTGAAAATATTTTTGCTTTACAAAATTTCTCCAGTGCGGCTGCTAATTGTGTGTCCAAAATCAAACTAACTGGTAATCCGATCGTGTGCGATTGTAAATTGGCTTGGATTTACAGTGAAAACTATCGTTCGCTGTTCAATGGCTTAMAGTGTGTTCAGACGTCAACCAAATTAGTAAAAGATCTCGCGCAGCTGGAACGTAATGAGCTGTGTACTTGGGAACCAGTAATGTGCCCCAGAAAATGCAATTGTTACACACAATTTCAATTCCTGCACATCAATTGCAAGGGTGCGCAACATATCGAACAGCTCCCACGCCCCGAACAAGTTGGGCTCAAGAGTTCGGTACTCGATATTAGCAATAACAATTTCATTGAAYTGCCGYTAAACACCACCTTCGGCTATGGTAACGTTTCGCAACTCAACGCGTCGTTCAACAAGATCATGAGCATAAATCTCAGTCAACTGCCAATCAATTTGACGGTTTTGGATCTACGAAATAATCGCTTAAAATTTTTGAATGATGAATTTTTACGTACATACCTCAATGAGAGCACAAAACTACAATTTCTYTATCTAAGTGATAATCATTGGATTTGCGACTGTTCCACGCAGCAATTGGTGTACACCATACGTACACATCGGAGACGGATCCCCGATGCCGACCAGTTACACTGTTACTCTGTTACTCTGCTGAACGATACACTCCTAATAGACAATGAGCGAGAAATATGCCCAACTCCTGTTAATGTTGAATATTATCAAAAGTTGAATAAAACTGTAATTAGTGTAGCGTCAACCATTATTATATTTCTTTGTATTATCGCACTCTTCTATAAATATAAATTAGAAGTGGAAGTCTGGTTATATAGCCACAATATATTGAGATTTTGCATTCGCGAATGTGAGTTGGATAAACATAAAACCTTCGATGCGTTTATTTCATATGCACACCAGGATGCAAACTTCGTCAACCATACATTATTGCCGCAACTCGAACAGTGCGAACCACCATTTTTTGTATGCACACACGAACGCAATTGGCTGGCTGGCGCTTATATACCTGAACAAATCATCGAATCGGTGGAACAGTCGCGTCGGACGATCATTGTGCTCTCGCAGCACTTCATCGAGTCGGATTGGGCGCGCATGGAGTTTCGCACAGCGCATCAGTGCTCGTTAAACGAGGGTCGTGCGCGCATAATAATGATTAAATATGGAGAAATCACGAAAAGCGACTTATTGGATAGAGAATTAAGGGCATATTTGGATATGAATACATACCTGGATTGGCAAGACGTCAGATTTTGGGACAAATTACGCTACGCCATGCCACATAAAGTGGGTAGAGAGCGGAGTTCCGATATGTTAAAAATTAACGGCAGAATGTATGTTATGGGACAAGTTGAGACGAATCATTTGCATGAAGAAATTGTTTAAATTTGTCACAGTTGCAGGATGGTAAAAGTTATCGCAAATACATATACATATATAAAGTTTAATGAAAATGTAAATATATTACCTTTAATTGCAGTTACTTAGTGAAATCTTCCGATTCTTCTATGACACAAAGAGTTGCTTAAAATTTTGCTAATCAGAGATAGATTGAGATAACCTGGCCAACCTGCTTACCAAGCAGCGATGATCACATAAATTATTCAATCCCATTTTATTATATCTCAAATAACTACTTAATCAATTTTCCTGTATAATTATTAATTAAAAAGCACACAATTAAATCTGTCTATCTACACAAAAATTATGTATTAAATATTTCAAGAGGAAAGAAGGCGTGAGTTCCAGTACATTATAATATTTTATGAATAGTCTCAAAGAGAAATTGCTGACCAAAATTTAGTTTAAACAAGTAATGAGGGTACCTAAAATTCCGCCAAATCCAAAGTAAGCAACGTGAAGAGTTATGATTGGATTTGAACATTTTTTGTTCATGAGGTGGCATACGGTAAAGGCATTGTTCGTGCAAAGTTTCAATCCTTTATAGTAAACGCTTCTTGATTTGTGTACTGGAAAGTTAAAGAGTCAAATGGAATTTAAAATATATATTAATAGAAATATTTCCTGCCCCATTTTGTCAAAATCGGTTGGTCAGGTCCTGAGATATGGGGTATCACCAAAAAGTGGGCGGTGCCGCGCCTATCGTCCAATTTCACTCGAGATCCTATAAAGCTTTCTTATATCCTTTCGAAGGTGGAACTTAATGTCGCTGGCGTATTCAGACATTGACTTATCGTGCTTTTAGTAGTTTTTAACAGTACCCTTATAAGGGGAGTGAACGGGGTTATCCTCCGAATTCATTCATATTCACACTGTGGATAGAAATTTCTACAGGATTTGTGTTTAGCAAATTTGGTTGTTGTAGCGGTTTAGGAGACATACATATATGAACATTAAACTTATTAAAGGGTGAGGCGAAGCATTTAAGCTTTTTTTCAAAAATTTATGCCCACAAGTGCCCGTTGTTATTGCCATCCTCTGCACCAAATTACAGCGTCGTAGCCCACTTTAGTGCTTAGTTATGTTATAAGTTTATGTGTATTCGGTTAATGGCGATTTGTGGGCGTGGTAGTGGTATGATTACGCCTATCTTAGAACTCGAAATTTTTTGTACAAGAAACACATACCAAGTTTCGCGGTGTTATCTCAAGTTTTACTCAAGATACAGCACGGATGGACGGAAAACCAGACGGACAGACTGGGAGTCGACCATATTTCAACTTTTCACGTCATCCTAATCATTTATGTATATAACCCTATATCTGATATCGCAAAATTTTCAGTCAATATCGGTAGCTCCGTGTGGCTAAATCGCTAACCGCTTTGCAGGCTATTCCGGAAATTGATTTTAGCAACTATTTCAAGGATTGGGAAAATCGTTGACACAATTGTATTGGGGCCAAGGGTGATTACTTCGAGAGGAGCGTCATAGATTTCGAAGAATAAATTGAGAATTTTAATAATAAAAATATACACAAAGTCTTGCTATTATCTGCTTACTGTAGTATGTATAGTGGTCCGATATTGACGATTCAAACAACCAGTTTCTTGTGTACAAAATCGTGCGCGTTCAATTCGATATCTCCAAAGTAAAAGACAAGTTCCCATATTTACAAGCCGATAGAAAGACAGACATCCATGACTTAGCTTCTCACGCAGATAATTTTTGTACATGTAGCAAGTATATTATATTATTTTAGTCCATTTATTGACGTTCAAATGTCAAAGCCTCAAACCAAGAAAAGCCTGGTCGGGTATATCAAAAATGGTAAATAAGAAATGTCTGAAAATGGCACTATTAGAGTGTGCCTCTAATACAGGGTGGCTGATGATTTTTGCTACATTAAGAAACTCAAATAATTTTCTTTTTTTTCAATGTATGGAATTCATTTTTCTTTTATTCATGTTAAAGCTCATTCAATTTTTATAAATATAGCTTAATTAGTTTTAAAAATAATGGAATTTAAATACCCCCCCCTGGTCGTTGATGCATGTGCGGCATCTTACCAAAAAGTTGTTCATTACTGCTTGGAGAGTTTTGTTGGTTTTGCTTTGTGGACTTTCTGTTTACAATAATCCCACAAGAAAAAGTCTGGTGCAGTAAGGTCAGGCGACCGGGGTGGCCAACGGAATGTGGAGTTTCTGGATATCAGCTTATTGGGAAATTTTCGTCGCAATTCTGTCATGACAGGTTGTGCTATGTGAGGAGCTGCACCATCTTGCTGAAACCACA